TGACATTTACTAGCTGTGTGACCCTGGGCAAGTCTCTTAACCCCGACTGCCTCACCAAAAAGCAAAAGAAGAGAAAACCCCAAATGACGGCAGAATGATAACAACAACAGCCCATTGCCCCCCTAAGGCCACCCTGCCGAGCATTCTGACGGCGTGTCCTGTTAAGCACCCCCTGCTTCCCCTCCTCGTGCCCCCCCTTCACGCCCACTTCCCTCATCGCGGGTCCTCTGTCGTCCAGGTTGGTGGGTCCTCTCTCGTCCAGGTCAGCGGAGCCTGGTGAGGCGCGTAGTTGCACCTCTCCTTGCGGGGGTCCGTCCTGCCCCTACTCTCTGGGGGACCCCGCTCTCGAGCGTTCGCCGACCACGCACACACGGGACCCAGATCTGCTCAGCGTGTCCGCACCAGAACTTAGCGTCTTTCCTTTAGGCCTTCCCCTCTGCCTGACCAATCGGACACATCTGTTTATCTTCTTTGGGGGGGGGTTGTTTTCTCCCTGGCTCCCCCCACCCCTCCCCCACTCCCAGAGAGCTCCTCCTTCTGATAAAAAATTAAAAATGAAGTGGAAAAGAAGTTGTGCGAGCCCAGCCGCCCTGGCTTTCTGCACTGAGCCCTCCTCCCCAGGGAGGCTTAGACTGAGCCAGGATGGTCGCCGCTTGCTACGAGGGCGTGGTCCACCACCGGCCCTTCCCTTGCCCTTTGGCCAAATGGCCGACCCTCGTGCTCTCCGCTTACCCGGCTGCTCCTCCAGGATGGTTCCTTCTGCTGAGCTCTCTCCTGACTGTTGACCCAGCGTCACAAATACTGGCTAGCTCTTCCCCAGCAGGTTCTGGTCACAGGTCACAAACAGGCTGCTCCTGGCCAGGTCTAGAGATGCTCTCAATCCCAAAAGACTAGAGAAACGCCAATTAAAGCCCCCACGAGGTCCTGCTTCATCCCCATTAGAAAGGAAAGTGACCAAGGCTGGAGAGTGGCTAGGGAAACAGGCACACTCATGCATTGTTGGTGGAGCTGTGGACTGGCCCAGCCACTCTGGAGAGCCCTGTGGAACTCTGCCCCACAGGCTGTTCAGCTGTTTGGCCTTTGAGCAAACCATTGCATGGATACCACTACTAGTTCTACACCCCAGAAGAGATCAAAGAAAAAAGAAAAGGGCCACTGTGTACAATTCCAGTCCAACCTGAGGCACTGTGAACCTGGGCAAGTCACTTAACCTCGGTCTGCCTCAGTTTCCCCAACTGTAAAATGGGCATCGACACAGTGCCTGCCTGGCAGGGTTGTTGTGGGGTTCAAAAGAGATGCCGTCTGTGAAGGGCATAGCACACAGTGCCTGGCATACGCTAGGTGCCTATTCAGTGCTTCTTCCCTTCCCTTGGCCTCAGATGTGTTCTGTGGGTACCTCTGCGTCACTGGGCCTGGCCCATCTTAGGGACCCCCAAGACCTCTCTTCATCTGGCTCTTCTTTTCAGGTCAGAAAGCAGGGAGGCAGCGTGCCGGCCAGACCAGCTCTTGAGCATCGCGGGGCCGGTTGGGAGGATGAGCTGGGTCAGCACAGAATGTTTGGGGCTGGGGGGGGGGGGGGGGGGGGCATTCCCCACCAGGAAGGGCCGGGGGGGGGGGGGGAGGAGGAGAGGACCGTGGTGGCAGAGGCCGGAGATGAGGTGTGTGTGGCGGACGGGAAACGGGAGTGTGGGACAGTGGCCCCTTGGCAGCTTTTTCTGTGAAAGTCAAAGGGAAGATGTAGCGAGGCAGCGAGCGATGCTGGTGGACGGGGTCCCTCGTGGATGCTGTCCTCCTCTTCTGCGCTCGTTCTCCCAGCCTCTTCGCCCACCCTCTTGTCCCTTCTTTCCCCGGCGGATGACGCTGGTGCCGGATATGAGGAGTTAATGTTTAGCGTGGTCGGTGTGAAAGCCCAGCCCCTCGTCCGCCCCCTCACTTGGTGGTTGGCCTTCGGCCCATCTCATCGTCCCTCAAACAGTAGCAGGGGAGGCTCGGGCTGGAGGTGGCCCTCCCCAGATGAGGAGGAAGCCAGGGCCCCGGTGGGCCACCTTCTGAAAGTGCTTTGCATGAGGTGGCCTAGTCCCAGAGAGGCTGCCATGGAAACGCATCCTGTGTCACAGCATCTTCTGGGCCACGGCCTTTGGCCTCTCATGGCCTCAGCTGCACGTTACCCCATGGGGCATTACCCATGACTTCAGGGCGGTGGTAAGAAGTCGCTGACACCCGGCAACGTGCTGGCCGAGCGCAGAGTCTCAAGCCCCCCACATCTTCCCTCGGCTCTCCTGCAGGAAGCTGTCCCCACGATGTGAGGCTGTGGGAGGGGTCGCTTTCAACCCTGGCGTTTGTGGCGACCCTCAGGATACTCCCGTTAGTCATGTTGTGCAGAAGAATTGGAGCCACGAGAGAGAAGAGAAAGAATGAGACAACAACGAGAGGGAGTGAAGAGTCTGCCTCCACCCGCGTTCAGACTCCACGGTCCATCCTCTGGAGGTGGATAGCGCTTTCCATCGCGGCTCTTTAGGAATTGTCTTAGATCCGTGCGTTGCTGAGAAGGGCCAAGTCTATCAGCGTTAGTCATCACCCAGCGTGGCTGGTACTGCGGACAACGTTCTCCTGATTCCGCTCGCTTCACTCAACATCAGTCCAATCAAGTCTCTCCAGGTTTTTCTGAAGTCTGCCTGCTCATCAATTTTTAAAATTAATTTATTTTGATTTATCAATAATCACTTCCATAAGCTTTTGAGTTTAAAATTTTTCTCCCCCTTCCTCCCCAGGACGGCACACAATCTGATAGAGGCTCTACATATACATTTCTATTAAACATATTTTCACATTAGTGATGTTGTAAGTAAGAATTAGAACCAATAGGAGGAACCACCAGAAAGAGGAAACAAAACTCAACAGAAGAGAAACAAAATAGCAAATAGTATGCTTCAATCTGCATTCAGATTCCATAGTCCTTTCTTTGGATGTGGGTAGCGCTTTCCATCATGCTCATCATTTCTTATAGCACAGCAGTATTCCATCACATTCACATATCACACC